GAACGAATTACAATCAAACGGATAAATTCAAACTCCATCTTAAAAGTTGAAGGTACATTTTTATAACGAGACATATAAATCTAGATACAATTATGAGGCAACATTTTATTAGATAAAAACAAAGAGTTTGATAGTTTATTATTTAAATTGTATTTAATTATAATATAATAATTATTAAATAAAATAAATTTTTTAAAATTAAAATTATTTAAATTTAATAATTAATATTATTTTATAATATAATTTAATTTATACTGTAAAATATTTATTTGTGCTAACAAAATGTTGTGTTAGACTATGAACGACCATAAATTCCATCAAACGGTCTGATAGTTGCGTGTTTTATTGAGACTAATAAATTGTTATTGAGATTAGTAAATTGTTCATTAAATCTGAAGATCGAATTCTTAGTTCCTAATATTTGACAATACTAACTTATTAATTTTTGTCCTTAAAAAAATATATATATATATATATGAAGGACCACAAAGGTTTGTTACCGTCATTCCCTAATTCTTTTACGCGTGGACAAGGAACAGTTGCAGTCATAACCAAACTGCATTTATTTTGCTTTTTTTTTTTTTCATAATTTTTAAGAATTTGAATTTATTTTTAGAGCATAGGATAATCGAACCGCCCCAATAAATTATTCATCTATTAAATAGAATGTTCAATGGTTCAAGCAAAAATTGTCATTATTTGTTAATGTCAGCATCGAAGTAGAAAATCAGTACTTGCTTAGCTTGGTCAGATTATTTATACGTTGGTCGGTTGCTTTGAGCTTTTAGATAATTGAGCACTTATTGTCTTTTGCCCACGCATGACACATTTTTATTCAGCACGTTGACAAAAATGTCTTTTTTTGTCGAGCTCGTGAACACTTAGAGCTCTGATTTCTAAAAGAGAAAGAAGAAAAAATCATTTCTCACCAAATTTCTAATGTCCTTTCATCTGAATAATCTTTTGAAAAATCATATATAAAATTTTATTTTGCACTAGTGTCACAATCTAAAAATAATTATAATTACTGTTTCATATAATGGCACAGATACCTCTTTAATGTGAGATTTTTTGATCAATATGTCTTTCATGCATAGATCATGATGATGGACCTAAGTTGTTTGCAATGATTTAAGCAATTCATGCTTATGTATATAGATTGTTTAGATTGATTTTTTAAAAAACAGTTAATAATCAATAATCATTATTATTTATAATTTAAAATATTAAATTTATTTAATTAAAATTAACAACTAATAGTTATTTTCATAAAGGCAAAACAAATACTCTATAATCACAAATAACTTATGACTTTGAGAGCCAAATATAATAAATTAACTGTTTCATATGAATTTGTTTGTATTGGCTGTATATATATATATCATTGTAGCCATTGTAGCAAATCAAGGTCATCCCTTGATTCTAAGAACTAATTACAGAAAGTATATACCTTATATATATTGTACAAATTCATCAAATCAATTATAGGAAAAAGGCAATATTTTTTTATATGGTATCAAGAGCATTGGTCCCTAAACTTTTCATTCTTTTTCCAGAAACCCTGACCTCGCCAGTACAATAGGTGAGGAAAATACTGCTGCTACCAGCAAAGCTTTAGGCAAAGAGAGCCAAACCCAAGGTCTGCTTGGACTTGATTCCTCTTCGCCCTATTTCCTCCATTCCTCTGATCATCCAGGTTTAAACTTGGTTTCCAACCCATTAAATAAGACAAATTACTCTACTCGGATGAGAGAGCTATGACTAATGCTCTTTATTAACTGTATATACATCACTGCAGCCATTGCAGCATATCAAGGTAATCCCTTGATTCTATGAACTAATTACAGAAAATAATTAATTATTAAATTCTAGTCATTGCATTATACTGTTACAGAGTTGTATATATATATATATCGTACAAATTCATCAAATCAATTATAGGAAAGAGGCAATATTTTTCTATAGTTTGGGCACGTTGCACGATCAAGTAGCGTGTCGGTAAAGTTTTGGGTTTAATGGGTTGGGTTTGGTTTTAAGTGGCACGTATGGAAAATGGAAAAAATGAAAACTGGGCCTGAGCCTTACAGATCTGATCCATTTAGAAAAAAAAAAAAAAAAAAAAA